ATCAGAATGTGCAGAAGGAGCTGTAAGTCATTCCCCATGCATTCGGTCTTCATAAGTAAAGTTGGAGCATGCTTAGGCTACACCAGAAAAATATGCTTATGCCCATGATTTGGACAGCTTTTCTGTTTGACTGTTCCTTCAGGCTGCATCTGCCTGCCTGTATCCCAGAAGTATTAGAAAGATGCTGACTGCTGAAGACTGCCCAGTGTTTACCCTAATACAGAGAACCTCAAACTCCAACTCTTTTCTTCTTTTTTTTTCTCCTCAGTCTTCTTTTCTGACTGTGAGGTGTTAAAGGTGTTTTCTACATTTTTCTTCACAGGCTCTGTTTCATCCTAAAGTTTAGTGTTTCTGTTCTTTTCAAAAAGATTTTTTTTCTACTGGCTCATTTACCATTGATGGATTGAGGAGAATCCTAGTGAATACCTGTGTTCTGCTAAGAGGAGTGAGAAGAGTAAACAAAGACCTTGGTTTTTCCATGCTTTTTCCTTAAATAGATCCATAGAATCACTTAGGTTGGAGAAGACCTCTAGGATCATCTAGTCCAGCCATTAATCTGGCACTGCCAAGTCCACCACTAAACCAGGTCCCCAAGAGCTACATCTGCATGTCTCTTAAATACCTCCAGGGATGCTGATTCTACCACTTTCCTGGGCAACCTGTTCCAATGCCTCCCTTTCAGAAGGGGTTTTTCACAACAGCACAGAGAAAGTATGGGATTTCTGTAAGCACATGCAGGATTCAGATGTTTTAACATGATTATTTGCTTTGTTACAATTCAGTCGTTGATACTGTGCCTTAATTTTTCTCTCCTTTTTTTTTTATAAACTTGTTGACATGAAAGGTGAGGAGTTACATTACTTTCTTATTAGTAATCCAGGCTTTCAGGTAAGTTTAGTGGTACTGCAAGTATTAGTGCTAGCCTGCCTCTTGTCTTCTTTCAGTTTTTCTTTCCCATGAGTGAATAGCTGTCATTTAAATGAGTAGTCCTGCTGGATCTAATCAGTAGGTGCTGCTGCTGCTCCTTTTCTGTATCCACACAATCATGGTAGCTGAAAGGATGTAGTTTTATTTATAGTACTGTGTCACGTAGGAGTTCTATTCTTTTGGGGCAGTAGCTTGTTATGCTGAAACCAGAAAGATGATCTTTGTCCTGGATGACTTTACAGGTAACTTTTAGGACAGAAGAGAGAACAGATGGGTGTTAGAGGTAAATGCCAGACCACACAACTTCCTTATAAGAGAAAGAGGAGGCACTGATCTCTTCTCTCTGGTGACCAGTGACAGCACCCAAGGGACTGGCCTGAAGCTGTGTCAGGGGAGGTATAGATTGGATATTAGAAAAAGGTTCTTCACCCAGAGGGTGTTTGAGCACTGGAACAGGCTCCCCAGAGAAGTGATCACAGCACCAAGCCTGACAGAGTTCAAGAAGTGTTTGGTCACTGCTCTCAGGCACATGGTGTGACTCTTGGGGATGCTTCTGTGCAGGGCCAGGAGTTGGACTTGAATGATCCTTGTGGGTCCCTTCCAACTCAGCGTGTTCTGTGATTCTGCGAAAGGGATGTAGCTGCAAATAGTTTCAATATGCCACAAGAGCCTGATAATTACACCACTGGTTTTTAATTCCTTGTAAGCTGGGTGATAGAGAAGAGAATGAAGGAGACAACTAGAACAAAAACAGTGAATGTACGTGCATGTTTGGGGGACCTTCCAAGCATGATGAGTACTTGGGGTACATTTCTAGCCTTATTGTGCTGAGAAGGTGCTGGGCACCGACATACAGGGCTCTCGGGATCACTAAGCCAGTATTCTTGTAATATGAAATTTGTGTGCAGAATATGTATATGCTGGCTTTTTCTTTAAAGCCTAAAATTAACTGTACTTTACATTGTTGTACAGATAAATACTATCTTAATGCAGTGAAAGCAGTAGACTGTGAGCTTTAAGCTCCCTCTGGTGGATGTATAGTACAGTTTAAACCTTGATTGTTGTACTTGTCTCTTCTGGACAGTTATTAGAGTCTAAGTGTGTAATGTATCATTAAATTATTGTGATTTTTAAAATCAGTACAGGAATATGATGTGCTATGTACCCTCCCAAGGTGCCTAAGGTCTCTGTAACTGGACTTCAGAGAAGTAGAGGAGTTAAAATAATGTAAAATAAGAGATCTATTTCATAGTTATTATAAGCATAAAGGGGGTATTTCGCATAATAATTCTGGGTTTTTTAGCGGTGCTATAGTTTGCAACTGATATCCCTGAAAGTGCCTTTAATACAGAATGGTGAAAACAGACAGGATCTCTGTATGAAAAACTCAAATGTTAATGCAAAGTTAGTTCAAGATCAGGTAGCTCTGATTTGATCTTCTTGCTCTAAAAATGTAAATATAAATTACCCAACTTGAAAAATGTTATGCTTTGTCACGCCTAAAGGATTCTTCCTAACATGACTGTAGTTATTGAGGCTTCACAAGACTGCAGAGTTGTGAGCTGCAAGGTCAGTACTGTTGAAAGGGAAACGTTACTCCACTCCTTTTCTCTCTATTGTTGCACTGGCACTTGTCTGGTTTTTTGATGCTTTATTAAAGTAATAAAAGAGTGTTCATTCCTCTTGCCCCTGTGCCCCCCTCACACTTTGTGTTTTTGGGGTTTTTTTGTGGGCTAGTTGATAGAAGGGATCATGGTTCTTTGTACATTTGCACAAATGCTTGCCCATACAATGAGGGAAAAATGTGGGGATTGCTTTTTTGTTTGGTAGATTTGGTTTACTTGCCGTAGCACTGACTGAAGCGTGTGTTAAGCTGTTGCTGTGTAGGTCATTCTTGCGTTTTTGATAACCTGCACCAAGTATTCTTTTGGCATTCAGTACTGCTGGTTCTGTTGCAGGGAATGTAGCTAAGGTCCATGCAGAGAAGTACTGTCCTTCAGACTGCAGAAGGCATGTGTGGTTGGGAGCAGCTCCTGCTGATGGCTGGCTGCATGCAGAAGACTTGAGGCTTTATCACAGAAATGTTGCATATCCCATTTGATAAGGCTGCTTTACAAGTTTACGTTTGATTAAAAAGTTCTTAAAGCTTGAGTTTCTGCATTGGATTGGAGTTCACTGCAGCTCAGTGTCTTGGAAAGACTTGGACCGTGCCATGGAGCTTACTTCTGTCTCAGATATACAGCAGTGTGTAATGTACCAAATATCCAGAAGTTTTCCTGTGTGTATATCTGCCTGCAGCGTGCTGACTTAGTCCCTGAGACGCTGCTCCAAGGATGTGGAAGAGGGACATGAACTGAAGGCACACTGCATCTATGCATGTGCCCAGCCTAACAGTGAACTGCTGTCTGCTCGGAAGGGGGCATGGACAAACACTGTGGTCTTGTCCCCAGAGCTGGTAAGAGCTGTCCTGCACAGGTTCAAATCACTGTCCAGGGACATCCTGCCCTCAAACTGGCTGTAGAGCAGAGCAGGTTTGTGAAGGGACAGAGCATTTATTCTGCATAAGCCATGTTCCTCCACTACTTATTTTTCTCCCCGCACAGACATTCTTCATATCTGCACAGGAAAAGCTGTGAGAGTCAAAAATTTGCTATGTAAGGAGGTGGACAGCTGTTTATTAGGACCCCCTTGATCAAAGGATCAGCAGCCTGCTTTTCCTTGCTTCATTTACTCAGATTATTAAATTGTAATCTCTGGTGTTATTTCCTCTTATGCGAGTCTTCTGTCATCTTGTGTTCCATCAAGGATGAAAGAATTAAATCAGATTTGATATGTTTTATTTACTGGCAAATATTTCACTTAAGTTAAAAACCTTGATCTGTATGCTAAGGTCTTAGTGCTTTTATTCCCAAAGCAGTGGGTATAAATCACAACCAAAAGATAGGTGGCACCCATGTTCTCCTCAGATTGCTAGGGACAGGACTGGAATTTGGAGTTTGGAAGTTCAATAACCTATGCTATCACCTTGACCTGGCTCTGCAGTTTGAATGTGATCTTTCTACATGTGCAATCAAAGGTGCTTTAGTTCTGCTTACCCTGTTTGTGGTATCAATCCCTTGCAAGAGCATCGTGTGCCATGTGCTCGTTCAGATAAATCCCAAATAGCAGAAATTGGAGAATATTGGTGGCAGAAGTGGAGTGTGGTGTTGTGAGCAGCTGATGGTTTCTGCAGGGTTGTTTTTACCTTGTGGGACAGTGTGAGGGAATTCCTGGAGTTGCTTCATGAGGTGAGACTGCAGTGCAGGCAATTAACTCACCTGTGCTCTGTAGGCACCTCGCAGTGGTCCAGGTTATTGTGTAGTTTTATGCTTTACCTGGAGCTGATTTTCAGGTAGAAACCACCATGGAGCTGCCTTTCAGCAGCAGAGCAGCAAGTATTACCTGAGCAGCCAAGGTGCCCAGGAGGTAAGGGAATGGGTGTAAGCAGCTGGGGAACCACTTATAGCCATCCCCAAATAGGCTCAGCTGTCTCTTCAATTGCACTCAAGTCTTCAGGATGTCAACTTCAACATTAAACACTAGAGGGTAGTATGTTACTGACAATGCTTTATTTTTGGATGTATTTGTAGTGATTTTTTAATCCCTTGAATTTATTACACAATTAGATATTTTAAAACAAATGTAGAACTAAAGAAAAAACAGTACTTTGCTCCTGAGTCTGAGCATGTGCAGCAGCATTTAGTAGTGTGCAGTAATATTTTTGGTTTGAGTAGAAAAATGGGTTGAATTTAGATCACATTTAGCTTTCTTCAGAAGCATCATTAGGAACACTATATTTAGAATTATTCACTCTCTGCTTGATGTCTCAATATTCACACTTATGTACATGTAATGTAAATACACAGTGGTATATAAGAAGAGGCTATGACTGAGAAAGAGCAAGTAGTTTTGCCTGGAGATACTTGGTTTTGATGTTTAACAAGGCAACATTTCTAAGTTCATGACAATTGCTCTTACTATATTTACAATCAGGATGGGGTTTCAGTGCTTGAATAACTTTTTTTTTTTTCCAGGCACCACCTTCCATGGTCAATAATGAACAACGCCAACATGCTGAGCACATATTCTTATCATTTAGAAAATCAAAATCACCATTTGCTGTTTGCAAACACATTTTGGGTAAGTTTTAATAAATGAAGTTAAATATGTACATGCTTTTATAATTGGAACTGTGCTGTTCTTCTGCAGCTGGGAGTATGAACATCAGTTTTGATTTTGATGGGGGGTAGTTTTTGATGAAGGGTGAAGCCTATTGCTGCCTTTTTTTGATTTATGTCCAGCTGTTTTGTTAAAGAAAAACAGAAAAGTTTCTGTCCACCTGGTAAAAGCAGGTGATTTGAAATTGTGTGATTATACCTGTGGAAAAGGAAAGAGATAGGCAGATGTCACCCTTTATCAGAAATTTCTTTGATTTTAATGAAAATGCTGTAAATGTGGTTGTGTTAACAAGTCTTTAAGAATAAATCTGTTTTTACAGGTGCTATAGAGACTTATTAGAGTTGGGCAGCTAAATAATCTGAAAATTACAGGAGCAGTAATGATGTAGCAAGCACCATTGTACTAACCAGATGTGAGTGTTGGGGGAAGGCAACGGGGAGGTTTCGGTGAAAGCTGACTCTGAGCCCCAATGAGGGAAACCTAGAAGTTTATGCAAAAGAACACATGCCAAAACCACAAAAAGCAACTTTTCTTTCAAAGCATTTGCCAGAATGAGCAGAGAAATATTAGAATTCTGTTTAAAATATTATTATTTTCATACTTCATTCATTCCACAGTATTTTTTTTAACAGTTATTTCTAAATTTACTGGATTGAGACTTAAATTCATGAATATTATGATGTCAATATTGCAGGCCTACTACTGTATTTTTAAATTATACTGTGATATATAGAGCAGGGTGTGCTTCTTTTCCTACACCCACTTCCCAAACCAAATGTTTTTCTACAAATGGATTTCTTCTGGTTTTAGCATATTATAGGAGTACTTCATCTGGTCCTGAAGACTGCAATCACAGTTTTTGCTTTATGGGTCAGCAAAATTGAGGCTATTTATTGTCACAACTTGGTTGTTGAAAAGGGAGAGGCAGGGATTATGAAATCAGGAACTAGAGAATGGTGACAAGCTGTTCATGACGAAGAATAAAAGAGGAAGTGTAGAAGGAATATATGCTGATCAGGATGGGCAGGAACCAGAGGAACAAAGTAGATGACTTTAAAAAGAAACAGGAAAAAATGGTCAAGGCAGGAACTGGAAGGGATGTAGAGAGAGATAAAAAGGATGTTGATGTCATTTGTGGAAAGAGGAGTATGTGAATGATACAGGGAGAATAATGGAGATGATGAGCATAAGGAAAAGGGGAACAGCCGCTACTCTGCCGTTTCTTTAAAAACCTGGACTTGAACCCAGGAAGCACTAGAGTCTACGTTCTTCTGCTGTAAGCTTATAGCTGTTCAGTGTACTGCCAAAGCCTGCCCTCCCTTTCTTTAGTAACTTCACGTAGAGGATAACAGTGCTCTGGCTAGTTATAAGCTTACACTGGGGGCTGGAGATCTGTGCTGTTAATGATTCCAGTTGTGCATCTGCAGTTCTTGACACAAAAGAGAAATTCCATCCTTTTTTATTTGCATTCTCTGTTTTGTGTGAGCTTTGTACAGTTAGAAAAGCCAAAGACCTGGAAGTTGACAAATGCCAGCATTAAAATTCCCATGCAGGAATAAATCAGTTCAGTTTTATGTGTGTGTTAGACATACACAATAATCTTTTACTTAAGTAGTTACTTAGTTTTCCAAATTAAGCTAAGTTGATTTTAAGGTGGTTCATTTTGATTTAAGCATGTTTATCTGTGTAGGTTTAGATTTGGAGCCTGATTAAATAACATAAAAATACCGTAGCAAATTAGCTGCCATCTTGGATGTAGAACTTGCATATAATGGAAATTTATATTATAAACTTGCTTGTATGTAATTGGAGGAAGAAAGTTTGTTTTGTAGTGGTTTAAACCCCTTCATCTCATGACTGATGTTTTTTCAAACAAACTCAGTTTTTCTAGTCCTGTGGGTCACCCACTATGCTTCTTGTTTGGGAATTTTATTTCACCATTTTCATCCTGTGGCTACACCCTTTCTTAATGTTCTTCTTGTGTTTTCTGCAGAGCTCAGAATGTTTTGAAACTGGCTTTTGAGATACTACCTGCTATTTCCAAGTTAAAATTTTTAAAAGCAAAGTAACAACAACAACAAAAAAGTCTCTGTAGCTTTCTATTTAATAGGAATTATATTCATATTCTGGCATTTCTCTTTAAATTGTACTTTGTAATCACCAAACTGTTACCTTTCTCCAGAACATATTTTTATACTTTCTGTAGTGCATCTGTAAACTTAGTAATCCCATATTCAAATAATAAGGACCAATGATTCCTACACTGTGGTCAGAAGTTATGTTTTGATTACCCTAAGATAAATATGGAAGCTTTAACATGATGTAGAAAACTTCAAATACTAGTCTGTAACATTTTTGCTTGGATAATTAAACACAAATATTATCTTTAAGTGTAAGCGGACATGTTTCTCTTTATGTCAGCTTAGTCACTTTAATTATTTAAGATGTTGGGACTAAATCATCTTGTTTATTTTGTTCCCCAGTTGTGTTAGCATTCTTATTCCTGATCTTTGAACCAGCCTTGTAGCATAGACAACTTTTCTCTTAAGTCACTGGCTTGAATAATATTGGACAACTTAATAATTGGGTTATTGATTATTTCTCCTCCTTGGTTTTTATAGCAACAAAATCCCATTTATTAATAAATAATAGTAAATTCCATTAGTTTTCTTTTGTTGGAAATACATTCAAGCTGAATACATGCATGTCTTCTAATACTCAAGTTACCTTTGTTTTTCCCCACAGAAACTAGTAAAGTAGACTATGTCCTTTTTCAAGCTGCTACAGCGATAATGGAAGCAGTTGTAAGAGAATGGATTCTCTTGGAAAAAACTAGCATCGAGTCACTGCGAACATTCCTTCTAACCTATGTCTTACAAAGGCCTAAGTGAGTATCAAAAACATACTTCTGAACTTGTGGGATCCTCCATAAAGTCTGGGTTATCCTTTTTGTTTCCCAAGGTAGTGGCGGAAGACCATTATAACAATAATTTGTCTTCCATTCTTAGCAGTTAACTTCTGTAGAGTTGTCAGCTTTCCCTTATGAATTCACACAAAATATTTGAAAAAGAAATGTATTTAAAGTTTATTGAGCATTGATGTCCAGAATTATCTGCAACTATGTTTGTGCAATGTTGTTTGCAGCCTTCAAAAGTACGTTCGGGAGCAGATTTTATTAGCAGTAGCGGTGATAGTGAAACGGGGATCATTAGACAAATCAATCGACTGCAAAAGCATTTTTCACGAAGTCAGCCAGTTGATCAGCAGTGGTAACCCCACTGTGGTAAGTATTTATTTTTTTTCTTCAAAATTTAAGCAATCTGTATCAACAGTTTAAGTTGTTATATACTTAGTGACTATAAAATATTTTACACTTCTCTTATCCAATTAGTAGTTGAGTTGATAGCTATTAAGCAATCATTTACCAAGTTGGAGATGTTTTTTTTAATGTTTTGAGACTAGGGTTAGTATGTGTAGTTCTTTGGTTCACGATTAGACCATATTTTTTAGGGAATAAGTTTTTCTGAATAGCTGCTTTAAATGCCATAGTTGTGGGTTGATGGTTTGTTTTGGCCATTTTTTTTGGTGTGGATTTGGAATTTTTTTTTTTTTTATTCCTCTGGTTTTCTTTAATCAAATAGCAAGATCTAAAAAGGATTTTCCTTTAGCTGAGAGGTTCTCTGAACACTGTTCCCCTTCCATCTGTGCAGTGCTGCACTCTTTCTGTGGCTCAGCTGTTGGAATAGACTATTGAGCAAGAGGCATAGGCCTCTGCTATTCTCTGAGAGGCTAGTAGGTGGAGAGAAAGGGGTGTGAGGAAGTAAAATGTGGAATGGAAATACAAAACTTATTCTCAATTTAATGTCATACTACTAGGGGTAAGTGTTACCTTCGATACTGAGCTCAAAGTGGAAACAAGGTGTCCAATATCTATCTATGCATTTAGTGAAATTCCGTTTGCTATGCCAGGGGATAAGTTTAGAATAGGTCATAATAGAGGCATGTAACTAGAGATTAAAGAGAGGTGATTTTTTTCTCCTACCAAAAGAAAATCAAAGAGTATGTAGATCCCATGCTGAAACTTTAACTGAAGCTTTTCTCAAACAAAAATCTTGAGGGAATTGGCTCATAACACTGCTGAGCGTTCAGAGCAGCAGTTGTACTAGATGTGAGCAGCGAATGTTTAACTCTGAAAATTCAATCAAAGTGTGCTAGAAGTAATGCAGCTCTTCATAGTCCTAAAAATAGTGTATCACCTTTGAGCACAAGTAATATCCCTCCTGGGTATGGAAATGTCATTTATTCTTGTAAACCTTAATTTCAGTTATTTACCATCTTAGCCTTTTCGTTGTACATAATTTGGATAGAAATCTGTATTTGCTTAGCACAACAGAGTTAATGCTTTTTTCCAGGAAACATAGTCCTGTTATTGAAATGGAGTTTTACAGTTGAGGTTTTCAAGTTTTATGCACAACGCTGTGTATGCTCATGTAGTTTATAGGATTTTTCAGTAAAAATAGAAAAGTGCAGTAAATAGAAACCTGGATGTTGACAGAGAAGTCCTCTTTGAACTAACTCTTGCACGATTCAATTTCTGCAGCTGTATTCTGTGCATGCAGTGGTGTACAGACACGCTGCACTGACCACAGCATCCAGCAAGCTAAGACTGCCTGCTGCAAGTGTATCATCCCAGGCATGCTGCAGAACAGCACATCACAGAGGAGCTCTGGCTGGTGGAAGGGGCAGTGTTTCACTCTTCTCCAAGTTCATCTCACTGCCAAGTTGGGCTTAGTTTTATATTTCCCTTTATCCACCTCTCTTCACAAGTATTACTTTCTCCATAGTTTTTCCAAAGTATTAGTGCTCAAGTTGTAAGAATGTTGTTGAAAATGTCTAGGGTATATAATGATATCTTCTATTCTGGTATACTAATATGACTTACTAGCAGAAAATGACACGTGATGCTGCTGGAACATCTTTTCTGTGTGGCACCAGATACAGTTGTTAGTTTTGGGCAAACTGGTTATAAGCACATGCTTCCATATATATGTGAATGTTTACATTATAAACCAATTCTTATTCATAAAAACGTTCTTGCAATCTTCTGAAACTTTGCTGCAAGAGAGATTCTGGTACAGGTGCAGCTTCATGTGGCCCAGGACCGATGTATGCTGTAATAAGCAGCAATAAAATGGTGTGTTAGCACAGTACCTGCCACAACTGCATTCTGAATGGGGTCAGGACATGTCTCCTGCATAAATATATAACAACTTTGAAAGGTTGTGTGAAATAATTCATATGATGAATTATCCATGTATCTTTTCAAATATGGCTAGGTGACTTTTTTCTTCACTGGTGTCCCTGTATCATCCAGCAGTGCTCATCTGTGTGAGACCTCAGTCGTGCAGTTGCCTTGTTGCCATGTGAAGTCTCAGCTGAGGGTGCTTCAGGGTATGGTGAGAAGCTGAGGGAGTGGTGCTGCTCTCAAGATCCAAGATGTGCGGTCGGGACAGTGCCATGAACTGTCATGGATGTTTCTGGAGATGTGTTTATACTAGTTATTTATAAAAACAGGTCCTCATCCAAGTTAGGGAGGAGGCTAGGGATATAGATGTTGGGGGAGATCAGCAGATGTTTTCCAGCCTTCCATGCCTCCCTATGGAAGGAGTAATTCGATTTTTTTGACGTCTTTCCTGTAGAGTGCATTTTTTCCTGATGTGCATTCTTGCCTCCATATAAACTCAAGTTTCAGAAGTCTGTGATACCTTTGTGACTATAAATTCTTTGTCAATTCTCTTGGTCACCTTTTGTATCCCTCCCAGACTTCTACTCCATGTTTCCGCTGACCTTCTGCCTGAGGTTCACTCCAGCAGCTGAGAAATAACAGATGGAGTCAGCAGCAGGTCACTTCATACTTAAAAATGTTTAAAGCTCTTAAATGAGAGCTATCAGCAGCTCTTACTTGCTGATAATGGCTTTCTACAGCAGTTTGTAAGTCAGAGGAAGTCCTTTTTTAAAAAGTAGTGTTCTCTTGCCTGCTTCCTGCTTACTTTTTCCACTCTGTTGGCTCTGAAGCTTCTTGACCCTTCTTCGCCTTGCAAGAATAAAGTAAATACTTAATCTTTTCCATTCTGTGCAGCCCTCCACCCAGTTTCTGTCAGACATCTGTACTAGCTTTGTGATCATTAGACAGTCCTGGTCCGTGAAATCTTTCAGACTCTTCAGCAACATCTTGTCAGGATCACGTCTTTATGGGTGGAATAATAAGGAGGGCAGTGAATGTAGAAGGTACTGTCTGTTGTGTGTGTCCTTTTGCAGGATTTGATATGCTTAATACCTTAATATTAGTTAAAAATATCTTTAGAGATGGATGTATTTTGAGGATGGAACTTGAAGGGATGTTGTGGCAAACTGACATGTGAGCAAGACTGATGGATAAACTGTTGAGAATGAAAAGATGAAAAGGAAATTAGAAGGCAGAGAAGGTGAGGAATAGTGACGAGAGGAAGAAAGTGGTCAGGAGATGAAAAAGATGGCTTTAGTATTGAGTAATCTTTTAATAGTGGAACACAGTGTACGTACGAGGGAAATAACAGGGCACTAAGGAAAGGTTATACTACAGGGATGGGAAGGATGCATGATTAGAGCCAGCTTTTGAACCTGGAGTGCTGGCTTCTGCTGCTGGTTCTCTGCCATTTGGTCCTTTATGAATCTAATGGAAGAAACCTTTTCTGAGAACAGAAAGTGAACTTTGAGTCTGACTTCTTAGTTATTAGAACTGAGTTTAGGTAGTAGTCCTCTGGGAGGACAAGGATTAGCTTTGGAGTTCTTGATTTTGTTTCTCCTGGCTCCTCCTGTAGCATTGGTAAAAGCCATCCTCCTGCTTATGAAGGAGAATGTGTAATCTCCCTTCAATAGCAATTTCAGGGTCTCTTTTCAAAAATCTTCAACTCTAGGGGACCAAGCTTCTGGCAGTAGACACAGTATCATGAGCCAATCTTAAAATGCTAAATACATGTTTTCTATCACTGATTTCAAGATTTTTGAGAATTTTGTGGGCCAAGTTTTTCTCAACTACAAATGCCTTCAATTTCTTGACCTTTTTTTTTTGTGTTAGAATATTCTGCTTTTGCATAGCAGAGGGATTTCATTTGTCCTTCATCCCTGCCAGAAAGACAGGAATCCTGGCAGCTAAGGTGACTGATTCCCAGGAGGAGGATCTCGTCTGCATGTGAACACAGTCAGATGGACTTTGTTTAAAACTGGACTGGAATATGGGTCACACCTTGATTTCTTCCAGAATGTGTAGGCAGATGCAGAGGGTCCAGGTGCTGTAGACCTGACATGGGACTGGGAAGCAACGGAAGCTGTGCTTTTTAGTATCTACAATGCATACAGTAGAATGTATTCTAATACAAAGCTCCATATCTGAAGCCTACGTTTTTTTCTGTATGTGGAAGGAGACTTGTCAAAACTTACTGGAAGAGCTCTGGATTCCTGACAGTTCCTTCTCTTTTAAAGTTTTTTAATCTGTTGTTCTGTTTCTCATTGTGATAGTTGGGCTAGAGAGAAGATCCAGATGCTTCAGGTTACCTAAAGCTTCTGGGGGATGTGCTATGAATGGATTTCATATGAGCAGTGGGAAATATTACTAAGAAAAACTCTAGACATTAATCTTCATTGAGATTAATCTATCCATTATAATGGCTACGTGGATAACTAGTTATATTTATTTAGCATTTACAGTTCTTATTTCTGTTCTTTGAAAGGAATTTTACTTCTGTAGCCCTGTCTAGCTGTTGCTGTCTCATGTGGTTGGGTAGGAGTTGGAGAGGTTCTCCTGACTTCTACGTTTTAACAAAAACATATGTACTATCCCCTCCCCCAGGCTGTATCTTCTGGTCTAATAAAATTGTTACCTTGTCCTATGAACCTCACTGGCCTCAAGATGTTGAGTATGAAAACCAGATGGTAAACCAGGATATTTAAGCTGTTCCTTCCTGCTGACAAGTGCTCTATGAAGGCCTAAGTTAGTGTGTTTAAAGGTTGGTTTGGGAATTTCAGGGATCCAGAAACTATTCCAAGTATGAGGTTAAAACTTGGTAGTAGGAATGTAAGAGAACTTTAAAACTCAAGTATTTTTTTTTGTAGTTGTATTAACCAGAGTGGCTTTTGCAGTTTTCAGATTTTTCTGTTGAAAGAGAGCCTGCTTTAGGAGAGATGCAATACAGCAAGACTCCAGCTTAGTTGCTTAATAACTTTTAACATTAGAAATTGATATCT